AATAGGGGTTTGAGGTGTGATACAATAATGAATGCCACTAAGAAGTTAGAGTGTAAGTGTACGGAGAGTTGCGTATTTCGTCGTCATTTGGACATGGTGGGTAGGAAGTTTGAACTTGGTACTTATGCGCGCACAATATCCATTTTCGCGGACTGATGCGGTTCATTCTGTTGTTGCTAACATACACTGACCCGGTAGCCTAGGGAAACTAGATGGGACCTTATAGATTACTCGCAAACCTTCGCTGAGGCATGCACGATGACGAAATAAACAGGTTTTGAAAGAATAGGGGTTGTTTGTGCTCCTAGGTTGGCCTTTTTCCAGCCATTCCGGGAGTTATTTGCGTATCTTCTTGTGTTGGCGCCGACTCGTCCAACGAATATAGCCTAGGTTGATATTTCAGACCGTACCAACATACAGAAAAAACTTTTTCTCTAGATACGTCATTTCTAGAGCTGGGACACGAATATTTTAGGCGATTGCCTCATGATTTTCTGTGCTTTTTGTCGAATGCTCATAAACAGAGATACTGTTAAATGCTTAACACAACCTTCGGAGTAGGATACTTCGTGAAATCATTTAATTCAGTTGTAAAATCTTGAAAACTATGTTTCCCATTCTCATGACTGTTTGGGACTTATTTGCGACTCACAAAAGCACGAAAGTCATCACTAAGAAGAATGAACGTCCATAATGAAAGTTATTAATAAATTACATTGGATCAATTAAACACTTTATCTTATAGGCTGCCAAATTAAGGTGCGCTTCGATTAGCTAATTTAATTACGTAGCTCAACGTGCTATACATTTAAAAGGTTAAATTAAGGCAAGGTTTAAAACGTTTTGTCCTGTGATTCAGGTGCAAGAAATGAAACCATTCTCATATTTGTGTCTATTTATTCATGTTTATATTGCAGCTCTCTGAGCTGCACCTGTTCAAATTTACTCTTCCGTTTAAAGATAAGTATTCATCAGAGTGATTGTACAGATACCGAAATTAGAAGGTACACATGTTCTTAGATGAGATGGACCATTGCCACTGGTAGAATGTCGATGCTTTTTTTCCAGGTCTTCGCCAGACTTGGCAAATACGCGAAAAATAATTAGCGTTTCAAATGTGATTAAAATGAATATTCATTTTGCATCGGTCCCGGTGAGCAACCGCTGTGTACTCAATTCTGTACTTATCTGTTCACGTCTCTTTCACTTTCCCTGAAATATTTGTACACGACATGCAACTCGATGTGCCGACTTACCCATGTTTCATTGTAATGCATGTCTTCAAAGCACTGTCGACCTTTTTGGAGCAGCAACCTTCGACGACGCGTGTTTTGCTCCATACGAATCTGTGCCGGGTATCAAGAACACATCCCCATCTGAGACCGATCGCCTTGCCATGTACTTGCCAATTTATGCTTGCGTCTGCGTGTATGGGCATATTTTCCCGTTCACCCTCAATATACAGTATCCCAAATATTACATGGGATCTTATAGAGGACTTCGTTCTTAACTAGATAGCAAAGCCTATATTTTAGGTGAATAAGCTGAGTTCGTAAAGAAATCTAATAAATCTACCTACCTTGTCCTAAGAACGTGTTTGTCTTTGAACTAAACTTATTGGGATGCCTATTTGTAAATACTAAGATCATGGCAAAACTGCTAATTTTATGCCTATTAGCTTTAGAAAATATGCATTAGTGGAAACTAGAGCATAAACAAAATATTGTTGTGCATGATAAAATGTTAACTGCTTTTTAGTGAGCCATTCCGCAGTAATTTATTGAGTTATCACTAAGGGCGGTAAATAGCAAACGTATAAATCAAACAATTACCATCAGGACTTGCTGATTTTTTAAATTCATACAATCACACCGGTTTGCAAAGTGAATCGTTTAACTCCCCTCGACGTTTTGATTTCTAAAATAACGTGTTTGCATACGCTTTGCTACATCAGATGTGCCTACAGAAAAAAATTCTCTTGTAAGGTGCGTCAACTTATGTCTAGTAAAACTCGCGGAATTAAATTAGTCTCAACTCATAAAAAAACAAGAGTAGTCTAACCTAGCTATTAGCATAGGAAACACGGCGGAATGCAGGGTAGTGCAGAGATCCTCTCCAATTCGCAAAAACCTCGATTGACAAATTCCTCCAACTATACCTTTTGCATACAAAATAACATTTTAAAATTAGGTTGTGCGAATAAATATAAAGCCAAGAAATTTTTGCCAATAGTTCATCGCCTAAGTTCTTATCGTCCCATTACGCGCATAATGACATATTTGTTTCAAAATTATGAATAGAATGTCACAGTACTCTTAAGAACTATCCGAAGTTAGTTGCGCAAGCCGCAATCGAAATTTTACCAAGTACGAACCCAGGTTCTACATGGACATACTCGAAATGTCAATAGTGATCTGTCCAGCCTGCTACAGAGTCATCGCCATGGGCTGACATGCATAAATTTTGGGTTAATCGAGTTAACCGAACTTTCTTTTTGTCAATAATATTCATATATGTGTATTCATGTCTATATAGAAGCGTCAAATATATTTTCGTCATTCAAAAACGTAGAAAACGTTATTTCGTAAATTTTCGACGCTAAAACTGGGCAGAAACATGCCTGAGATAACATGGCTATTGTCGGTTTCTACCCGTAGTAGAACTTTAGAAAATTTCGTTAAACTATCCAGTCTAATGATCTACGCAGAAGATGGTGCATTGATCCGGATGTCATATACAGAAACGTCAAAGTAAACTGAAAATGTGATAATAAATGAAAATGTAATGCCAGTCTGCAGAATCCACCATTTGAGAGAGCAGACAAAGTGGTATCGACTTTGTAAACATGTTTATCGTTGACTGTTTTACACGCTCTCTACATGTCTGTCGACGACCTGTGAAACCAGCGTGGCAAATTATCAAAGTTACGTATGTTCACTTTCCTTAAGTAGGGCAAGACTCCTGGCCTCTGCTTTGAATTTGGAGTAAATTGGTAAATGATTGAGGTTCTTGAACCTCCATCTAACGGATACTGGGCAAATAAAGATAATTGCCAGGAGCACTAACATATATTTGTGCTATTCTTGGAAGACATTTTGAAATAAAGCATGATGCTAGTTTCTGGCGCATTTACCAGTTTACCCACTCAGGTGTTAGGGAACACGAAGATGGACCAGTAGTCACGTGGCAAATCCATTGACGCCATCATGAATCGGGCATAGGAAAAACGTGTAGCAGAGCCATTAGGTCGTTAACATATGCCTAACATAACTACAATCGCACCTGCGACGCATAGGGAGTTACGCATGAACAATTAAGCAAATGAGCACAGAAATAAAATTACCCACGTCGATTACGTATATACCACGTGCGGTGGCATGCTGGCTTTGTGGATTTATTATCATTTTAGCACACACGACGGCTTTTTTCAGTTTAAACAAATGAAGTACTGTACTCCAGCGAATAAGATCTATAAATAATTGTCAATTTAATTGATGCAGTTCTCGCGCTGTGGACTATGCCTAAGGTAAAGTTTAATATTATTTTTTTCGGCGTGTGAGCTGGCTTCGGTTGTCCGAGGTAGCAATACGACCAGAGGTAGACAATTATCCTTTGTTTAGATATTCAAATTCATTGAACGTTAATACACATCCGGTTTTCCATATGCACATAGTATACTCGTACTAAAAGTGCCGGCACATACCTGGTAGGTTGGAACGGCCATTTGTGGCTTTTGCCGTCTTCAGCCAGCCACAATCATGTCCAGATTTCCTCTGCAACCCCTGAGGCTATATTGCGCTGACCCACTAACTCGTTGCCCTGTCAAATGCAATCTAGTACATACAATGGTAGCGGGAGGCTGAACGATCGCGTTACGGTACACACTCGTCCCGTTTTGTGCCTTGGGGCCAGTAGCCGCATAGCGGCTGGTAGTATAGGCAGAATAGCACGATTGGCATATCCAGGAGCAACTGTAGGTCGTACATTCCAAGGAATCATGGATTAATCGGGGCATCAAACTGGTATTCGTCTACAATACTTTCAAAAAAAATGGAAAGGGCGACAGCCAAGACCTGCGAGACTTCACCAAACAGACATGACCTATTGGCGGTAATAAAAGAACAGCATCAATCTCTTACAACGACTGTTTTGCATATTTGCTACAAGTCCGAGTACCCTCTTGGACAACGCTGTCGAAAATCTATGACAAAATGCTTGTTAAACTTCCCAAACGACTTAATGATTTACCCTTAGCACACTCTTTGTCATCTGACGTGCAAGTTAGAAGGACGTACGGCAGGACGTTCGAGGAATGATTCTCCATTTGAATGAGAACTTCGTACTTTATATTTGTTGATCGATATTAACTTTGAACGACCTCAGTTGTAAATCTGGTCTCAACGTCCAAAATAAACAACTTGTGAACGTAAAATGCCGGTTTAGTATATAAGTGAAAAATTGGTTTATCGCGATTAAATCGAATGCCGTAGAAAATCATCTTCGATTTACCTCTAAAGCTAGACGATTAGAGAACACTTGCTAGGGGTTTGCTGCAACTAATTTTAGGACTTCATGAGACTCCAGATAATGACTAAAGTATTTGCAATAATTATGTGCATCGCACAAAAAGCTTCTCCTAAACATACAATTTGATAACGAAGAAAGTCCATGAGTTTATTGATATTTTTAACATCCTTATGAAAATTCTACTTTCAGTCTTTGAACGGCAAATCAGGGAGGTAGAATAGAAATTACTATGCTCTATTTATCCTGAAGGACTCACGCTGGCTATAAATTAATCGAACTAATAGAAGCGAAGAGCCGAGTCCCAGGAAGTAGTCTTGAAGAAGGAGACACGATCGCCGGGACAAGAGCTTTATTAGCCTGACGTTTCAGATTCCTACTCGAATCCATCATCAGAGACAAAAGAGCAGAAACGGGTGGTTGTTGCACAAGGGGCTGCGGTATTTATAGGATGCAGCAGCCATGCTACCGCATGCCTATGAACGTTCACGGCTTCCCCCTTCATCCGGGATTGTCACACTTGGGGTGATCATTGCTTGACGGCCGACATTCGAGTCGATAATTGCCGCAATTTCATCACGTGCGTTGGATGTTGGCGTGATGATTGCTCGACCATCTGATGCGTTGACCCGGGTGTTGGGAAGAGTGTTCACCAGTGCGCTCCCCGCGTGGCTTGTTACTCCGCCTAGACGAAGTCTCAGCACGCTGTATTGAATGGGAAGATCGTTGCACTTGTTGATGGACTGGGGGCCAGTAAACCATGATTCCAGTAGCTCTCGGCTCACTCGGTTGTCAACTCTTGCGAGAATTTCGGCCTCATCGAATTTAAATGTGTGGCCGGGTCTCGTCAAATGAGCCGCAACTTGAGAGCTGGCGTCATTTCTGCGCACCGCTGCCGCGTGTTCGGCCATCCTCGTTCGGAGCTGTCTTCCGGTTTCTCCGACGTAGTTGCTTTGTCCGCAACTGCACCAGATCCGATAAACGACTCCAGACGTTTCTAGCCGTGGCAGTGGGTCTTTCGGTTTCATGATCAGACGCCTGATGGTTGCCTCCGGTCTGTGTGCCACTCCAACCCCAAGTGGTGCGAGAAGGCGGCCGACAGCTTCCGAAACGTTCTTGACATACGGAAGTGCCCGCCAAGACTTGGTGTCCGTGCGGTTAGGCCTTTCGTCCCTTTTGCGTATGCACCGGTCGACGAAGTTGCGCGGGTAGCCATTGGCTTTGAAGACCCGTCGGAGGTATTGTAGTTCATTAATTTTGTCTTCCGGCTCACTGCAGTGCGTTTCGACACGCAGATAGAGCGTCCTTACACAACTGCGTTTGTGGCTGATTGGGTGGTTACTGTTGAAGTTCAGTACTTGCATCGTACTTGTCGCTTTCCTGAACACTTTGGTCTTTAGTCCACCGCAATCCTTGCGGCATACAAGGACATCCAGGAAGGCCAACTGGTTGTTCTCTTCCTTCTCCATCGTAAATTGAATGTCCGGGAAGACGGCGTTGAGATGTTCTTGGAATGTCAACACCTGATCCCGTTCGATGACGACGAAGGTATCATCCACATACCAGGCCCAGAATTTCGGTCTGTGGTGTTCGAAGACCAGCGACTCTAATCGTTGCAGGACCGCCTCGGCGATGAATCCCGAAATCGGCGAACCCATTGGTGTGCCCTTCACCTGTTCGTAGATTGTCCCGTCGAACGTGAAGTACGTCCTGAGACAGAGCTTCAGGAGCTGAAGGATTTGGGCGTGTCCAAGACGGTTCTCCGTTTCATCGTATTTGCTTTGTAGTAGCAGTTCAATTGTCTCGATCACCAGGTCCTGGGGGATATAAGTAAAAAGGGATGTAAAAACAAAAGATACCATGACCTCATTTGGATGGATGCTTACCCCTTTGAGTTTCTCCAGGAATTGTGCTGACGAATAGACCGTGGTGTATGACTCAGCGGTCAGGAACTTGAGACACCGGAACAGCCACTTCGCCAGTCCGTACGTTGGAGTCCCTTTGAGCGACACGATGGGTCGGAGAGGAGCGCCGTCTTTGTGCACCATAGGGAGGCCATAGAATCGGGCCAAAGCCGTATCTTGGGGTCTCGCCATGCGTCTGTCGGTCGGTGTTATTGCACCTGAGTTCTCCAAGGCCAACAACGTAGCATTGATTTCGCGTGTCGGCGCCTTTAAAGGCTTCTTTGAACATGGGCCATAGAACTGTCGGTCCTCCAGTAAACCTTTGGCTTTTTGAAGGTAGTCTGTCCTGTCCAGTACAACTGTGGCACGTCCTTTGTCCGCTGGCACGATGACCAGGTCTTTGTCGGCCTTGAGTTCTCTAAGCGCATCACGTTCGACCTTGGAAAGCACTTCCCGCGGTCTGTGCGCCATCAGGAGAGACGACACTTGGTGTCGGATGAGGTTCTTAGTCTCCTCCGTTGCCTCCGTCTGACAAAGGATTGATTGCACTGCTGCAATCATGTTAACAGGTTTGGCGTCAGCCTTGTTAAATGAAGCTTCGTGCCGTAAAACTTGCATCTGATCCTTCGTCAGCTCCTTTGATGACAGGTTGTACACCTGTTTGTCGTTTCTGGGCGACGTTGGATTAGGCAGCTTTCGAAATTTGTTCTCCAGTGCTGCGTCGCGTATCGTGCTCTGTTCGCGGGCTTGTTCAGCTATCCTCCGCCGGAGCAGATTCGTACCGATTTCACCCATTAACTCACAGCATCTAGTCTTTTCTTGGTCAATCCTTTGACGGTACTTACGAAGTCTCGCATGGCAATCTTGGAGGAGCACTCGGATCATCCTTCTGCCGAGCTGAAATACCGCTCGTCTCGCCAAATCCGTGTTAACCGGTGGCTTGTATGAAACACATTTCGGTAACACATTATTGTCGAGACACCTGTGCAGAAACCGGATCTGCGAATACGTTGCGGCCTCGCGAAGGGCGAAGGTTTCCCATCGCCGGGCCGACCGGAGCGCATCGCGCCCAAATACATTTCCAATAGAAGCGAAGAGCCGAGTCCCAGGAAGTAGTCTTGAAGAAGGAGACACGATCGCCGGGACAAGAGCTTTATTAGCCTGACGTTTCAGATTCCTACTCGAATCCATCATCAGAGACAAAAGAGCAGAAACGGGTGGTTGTTGCACAAGGGGCTGCGGTATTTATAGGATGCAGCAGCCATGCTACCGCATGCCTATGAACGTTCACGGCTTCCCCCTTCATCCGGGATTGTCACACTTGGGGTGATCATTGCTTGACGGCCGATCTTTCTAAGAAAAAAATCGGCTGGATTGAGTTTGCTTTCCCATCTCTAGGTAGTTGAACAGCCACAGAAAAATTACGACGAAGACCATGCGATCAAAAACGATATGTAATACGAATTTCTCACCATGTTGTTCCATTATCAGAACGGAATGCGGTTGCCAACTGCCTGACGTTTTGGCCACAGTCGTAGACAATAGAAGACGAAGTTGGCACCTTATCGACATTGTGGAAGATGAAGCAGTCTATTCCATGCAATCGGTCACCGGGCGCGCTTTTTCGTATCTCCTTGACAGCGACATTGAAGAGCTTGGCCCGACTGAACGGTTGACTGCCGGACTGCTCTGTGATAAGTATGACATACTGTCTCCTCTGCGTGCTAAGAAATGGTACCATATGATTTAGGAATCGTAACAAATGTTCCCTCCTATTCCTGTAAGGCACAATAATAGCCACCTTCTGGCTTTCCGAAGCCGACACCGATAGCGATGTTTTCCTCAGCACCTTGCGGTTTATTTTACTTAATTTATAATTAATGGGTAGTTGTTGAGTGTAAAATGCGACGCCGGTATTTACTACGCCGCCTTCAGAGTCCTTCCATACACGTTGTATATAAAATGACATGCTTCCAATAATTTGCAGTTTGGAAATATTTATCAATGACACGAATGTATCCGAGAAGTAATGGTAGAATGTCAGAACGGCGACCAGAATGACTATTAGGCATGCGCCGATAAACAGACAACGATTGTTTGCTCTGGTCATCGTTTTGATAGCCCTGGACTCCAATAACCGTCAGCGAAAAGTTGCCCTTCTCTACGAAACAACCAGCCTTTTGTAGTGCAGCCGTCTGAGGCTAGTTGATGGATCCGGAAGACGTTATAGGCGGGAACTGATTTCGTCGTCTTGTCAGTGCGAGGAAATACGGATTACGTCATCCAAGCGCTCGTTCCGATAACTTGTTCGAATCACGCTCATTATCACACAACGCTGACTGGCCTTTCATGTGTGAGAACGCATGCTGATTGGCAAACGTTCGCCAAAATGCGTTAACTTAGAATAAAATGGCGATCACAGCGTACTTGATTGGCTATGTAGACTTTTTCGAACGGGATACCGGGGGTTTTGCCCTCATGCACAGTTTCGTGTTTGCACTCATTCCACCTGAAGGTGAGTAACATTCTCACAGCCATTCATTACTCAGTGGATGCGTATTCTGCATTTATCATTAAAAATTTGACGAAAAGACTAATGCGACATTATATATCGTCGGCCACAACGCATCAAAAGTGTTGTCCCTAATTTACCACTAGAGAAATTTGAGAATGAGTATTGTGTATGAATATAGTTTACGTCTCTCGGCACCAAGGCATTTTACACTCCGAATGACTTGACGCTTTTAAAGACAAGGTAATTTAAATTTAAAGTATTGTGTTTGCTTTAGCAGTTTACGATAAGTTATAAGAAATCAGGTGCGCATCAACAAATTCGGCTAATCTTTGAATGTCTGAACGAAATCGGCACTCGCTGAATAGGCATAGACTGAGAGATTTGCACGCAAAACCGAAAATATTGCTTAGTCAGGGAAGACAAGTTGAGTGGTAATATAAGAAAAAGAAGCAAGAGTTGGTTGACTTCATTAATGTATTTATTTGGCGGATACGGCGATTCCATTTATATTCTGTCCAAATTTACTGCTTCCAAAGGACTGTAAAATTTAAATATCGACATTTATTTGACGAACATTTATTTCAGGCATAAGCATATATTATGTCGCATACAAACAACATATGCATGCGGGTAGAGCGAGATCTTCGACAGCGATAAGGGGATGACATGGTCAATTGTGGTATATTGTCCTAGGTCAGCAACATTTACCCTGCATTTCCTATATGAACTTTTAACATTGAAAATGTCTTTCAAAGTAAAAAGGGCAATCAAGTCCAGCCATACGACCTGCGAGCTCATATGTCTCATATATATGTACAATGCTTGACAACCTCATGAAATATTGGCTGAAATTCTGAAATGCGTTTTCGTTTAGGAAGGATTACTGAGGTGGGACTGTAATATTGCTTGTCATGAGACATAATCCTATAATATTGTGAACTTGCCAGGATGTCGGCCTTTGAGTGCACTTCTGTTTGACTTTCGTCAGAAACCACACTCGGAAAATTTGACTACATATGTAACATGCATTTTCCACATTGATTTTCGATGCTCCTATAAAATCAGATGTATGTTGTAGATAAATGCATAAAATATGTTATCTCTTATTCTTTTGATAGATAATCACATTCTCTTCGCGTGTTATCCTCGAAAAATGGTAACTTTCAGTTTTAAAAAAATTCTAATTATGAAACCTTTAAGACCGAGCGATGTCCATGCATGCATCATCGTGCATGGCCGTTTACCAGTGCGCCACATGAAACGTACAACATACTCATCATCCATTACAAAATTTCCATGAACTTTACATAGTATCTTCTTATAGTCATATAGGAATATATTATTTTCCTTATGCCGATGACATGTACCTTGTAGACTGGGATCGGTAAATGCCAATGCAGTTGTTGATCTGACTAAAAATTATTTGCGAATTAGGAGACGTTTTCAAAACCTGAATGTACGCTTCCATCTAGTCTAAAACTTGGTGACAATATGACGGCCTACCAAAAGAATAAAAGAAAACATGTATTTGTGCATGTTTTCTATAAAATATATTTGAATTTTTAGGACCATCAAAATCAATGTGACAAATGCATGCTACATATGTAGTCATTATTTACCGAGTGTGGTTTCTGCCGAAGATAAAAAAAGATGTGCATTCAAAAGCCGACATCCTGTCAAGTCGCAATACTATAGGATGATGTTCCATGACGGACAATACTACAATCCCACCTAAGTATTCCTTCCAAATCCGAAAAACATTTCAGAATTTCAGGCAACGTTTCACGAGATCAGACACCCACTGTATCACAGAACAATAAGTCCTCATTGTGCTTACTGAAATATAGGCATTCCAAAAAGCCTTATTTGAAATCATTGAGTTGTTTTTGAATTGCAGCACGCTGTATTTCATAGATACCAGAAAGTTCTCAGTTGTCTGACAGATGTACGAAACAGTCAAAATTGCAACAGTCCCAAAATGGTGATACTGTCCTTCCATTACTGCAAATAAGTCATGTGTGCTTAATGAAGTCTCGCAGGGATTGGCTATCACCACTTCGATTTTCCCTGAGAGCATTGTGGAAGAAGACCCGTTTGATACTACGATTAACCCATGATTGGTCGGAATGTACGGCCTGCAGTTGGCCTTCGATTTAGCAGCCGTGTAATTCCGCCTATACTACCAACCACTATGCGGCTGCTGGCGGCGTTTGAGATTGAGCCCCAAGGCAAAAAGCCGGAGGAGTGTGAACCGTAACGCTATCCTTCAGCGTCCCGCTGTCATTGTATGTACTAGATGGCATTTGATAGAACAAAGTGGGCGTTGGTCAGCGGTTGGGGCTTTGTATGTCTGACCAGCAGGTCGCACAATCCAGCCACACGGGTTGTAGAGGAAATCTGGAGTTGGGTATGTCTGGCTGATGACGGCAAATAAGTCACAAATGGTCGTTCAAACCTCCCTAGTATATGCCAGTACATTTAATGCGAATAGACTAAATGCATATACATGAGCGGATGGGGACTTACGCTCAACGAGTTTGCATATCTAAAGTGAGGGCGAATTATATACATCTAGTCGATTTCATATACCACGTGGCCCTGGTCCATCCTCGAGTTTCCTAGCATTGCAGTGTAAACGCAAGAATTTTTAAGATTAATTACACTGTTACAAGATAAATTAAGGATACATTGTGGAAGATGCGACAGAAAAATGCCATAAAAATTCATTCAAAAAGTTTTTTTCCTGAGTGGCACATGCTTATGCCAATTTTCCGGTAATTAGCCTTATTTGTCCAGCATCTGTTACGTGAAGTTCGAAAATCCTCAAACGTTTGCCCCTTCGCTCCGAAGCCGAAGCAGAAAAACGCAATTTTCTTGTTAGTACTAACTCTTGCAACGCCAAGACGATCTCTAACTGGTTCGATTTAAATTCTGCATGATGTCGGCTGCCAATAATTTGGTTTATGTAGTTGAAGAACAATTGGTCAAACTTTCCATGCTCCCAATTTCTACCCATCTTTTAACAACTACAAAATGTTACATCAGCATCATTTTGCATATATGGGCAAATCCACGAGAAGATAGGCGTCCCAAGAAATATAATTAAAAAACGAGTCAGTTAGGAAATTGAACACACTTTTTTAAAAGAATGCGAAGGCACGATCAGTGGGACAGTAGTTTTATTTGCCTGAGCTTTCGAACTCGAACTGGAGTTCATCATCAGAGACTACTTAAGTGCAGCACATTGTGAACATTTATATCGATCGTCCTTGCGGGGGGG